AAAGTCTTAAAGTTTCTATCCTGAAAATTATTCTGGAGAATTATGTGGAATTATTTTGCTTCAATGGAATTTTCTTCTTGGTGTCTTTACTTGAACTTACAGTTTAAAACGAAAGTTACTTGAAGTTTTAAGATTTTTAAAACGTCACGGCAGATTGTACGTGAAAAGATTCTGAACACGGAAGGTAAGAACATGGTCTGATTTACAATTACTTTTTTAAAAAATAGGTTAATTTTCCCTTTCTAGTTGACTTAAAAACATTATTTCATTCAGATCGGGGACACGTAGAAGTACTAATTGAGAAGAGAATTTAAAAGTAAATGTATTGAAAGTGATAAAATTTATTTTTAATATTAAAACCATTCATTTCCCAAACGTTGATGTAAAAGTTTTAATGGGGGGGTGGGGGGGGGGGTGGGGGCAAAATTAGTCATATACTAATGGTTTTATTATTACGATCCATCTTTAAAAAAAAACTGGACATCCAAGTCTTCTGATCTCTGAGCATTCAAAATAAAAGAAATAATAAAGGAACATAATAATTATACTTATACATGTAATCATTATAACAACAACAATAATAATAAAATAATAAAATTTAAGAAATGTTAATATAAGAAATTTAACCTGAGAGAATATATTTATTTCTGAGGCAGATACATGATTAGAATTTATGATAACTAATTGACACGTTGTTTGATATGATTTTACACAGACAATGTTGATAATCTTATTACTCTGGCAGTCTTGCAATTTATATATCAAAGTCAAATTCTAAATATATATCCAGATAATGGTATACTTTTATTTATACTACCCATACTGAAAATACATGAGAATTTTGTTCTTCAAAAGACTGTTTTAAACACTGTATGTTAATTTGTTAACGATAATTGTTAAGGGATTTTTACATGAATAAAATTCCCTTATATTCCGATATCTCGTCAAGCCTGACCAGTTTAATTCATGATACACCTAGTTATCTCTTTTTACCGATCAATAGCATTCTTTTCGTGAGATTCAATCGCATAAGACATTTAAAAAAAAACCACCAAACGGTTTTTAAAGATAGACTATAAATCGTCTGTTGCATATAAATATCCCAATATAAGTAGGTGTGTATAAATCTATCCCTATATTTAAAAAAAAAAAACGAATATTGTATAAAACGTACAACGTACTTGAGTATTTTAGATAAAATTAAGGAAATAAAATATTCTCTTTATAGTAATAATGGATAAATATATTACATTGTGCATAAAAATAAATTAAAGGTGATGAAACTTTGTTATAGTCATAATGGATAAATATATTACATTGTGCATAAAAATAAATTAAAGGTGATGAAACAAGGATGTCAAATGTCGCATTTTAAGTCAACATTTTGCGAATTCTACAGATATGGTTGTTGTAATGACTCTGTCAACAAATAAAGTCTATCAGTCATTAAAGAGTCTAAATCACGTATCTAAATTTCTTATTACAGCAGATAAAAGCATTGACGTTTCCACAAACACAGAACTGTAAGTTGTTAGTTATATGTACATGTAGAAATTCGCCAGTAAGCGAGAGAAAAACTATCTAGAAGTATATATAATAGTTGATCAGCCATCACGACAGATTAGTCGTTAGAGCTCTTGCTTAGACGGTTTTGTGTTAAAAGTACGGCTTGGACCGGCCTGAGTCAGTAAGCAGCTGTTACTTTGCCAAGCGCTGAACAGTCTGAAGAGAAAGTTGTGGGTCTTTTGGATTTTGGACCCTAGTCCCGTCCCATGGTTGGCACGATGAAGAACCATTGCTGCTCGATGGCCCTGAGTAAAGGTCTAAAATTAAAGCCATCATATGTTTTCGGTGAAGCAACAAAATGAGTGACAAATTCTCGAATGGGACTTTAATGTAAATGAGACATAACTGTACTCCGTAAAATAAATAGAAACAAGCCAATGTCAACAAAAACAAACTGTTGTTATTTTGTTGTGCTATATCTGATACTTGCAACCGACGACTCTTCATCAATGACTTGAAAATTGATAATAATGTGAAGAGAATTTGGCAACAACGGCGTGTAAAAAGATTCTTTAAAAGGGTGGCGGTTAAATATTATGAATGTCGTGTTCATTTATTTTGACTTGGAAAAAGATTAACAGGTATTTTTTCAGCCATAATATCTTTAATAGAAAACAACCGCTATTAACGTATCCGAATCGGCCATTTTGTCAGTCTTTAGCGATCGTCACTTCGAATATTTTTTTTTTCTTAATCAGAGAGTATTTTTCTAGCAGCATGTTTTAGGCATTCTAAATGTTTTCAGCTATATAATTTAATTCTGGTTGTAACGATGTATTTGATTGGATAAAAAAATATGTTATATTGTATCAGATGGGTTGCCTACGTCACAATGACTTACGTCAAAAACGTATCAATCCGCCTGACGATACATTCAAATTTTATAAAATGGGTAGCTATTAAATTCATTCCTTAAATAATTAATTTAAAGAAATGATATGTTACGAAAACCGCGGCAGTGTTGCTCGGTTTACCTTTTATGAAGTAAAATATATTTTATTAATAGCAGCCATGTGATAACTTTGTGTTGGCATTAAACAGTCTATTTTCGTTTTGCAATTGTTTATAATAGATTAAATTTATTGATAACTTATCAGACTTAAATTTCAAAAAGAAGAATAAACACCCGAGAAATGATTTGATTTATTCCTTAACATACCCTTGTGATTAATATCTTTTTCCTCAAATATTGATATAGGTGTATGGTCATTGTAATTTTTACTCAAGCCCTAGAGGGGCTTGAGTTATCTAAAACGATGCTTGGTCATCGATTTACTCAGATTAAAAACACAAAAATATATTATTTTTGTAGATAAAAATATTTCTAGAGACAAAAATGAAGCTTATCCTGAAAACATCTGTATATTCAAAGATATTTAGTGTTTAATATCTGATTCAATTCTATGGCGTATGAACAATGAGTGAAGCTCCGCAGCCGCAATAGTTTCTATACAGAGATTTCGCGCTTTCCTTTGCGTAGGGATCTCAGGTAAATTTTTACAGTCGCCGACAAAGCATCATTGGACGAGTCCACTGCAGACTCTGAAAGGTGGCGCAGGTTACCCCATCGTTAACAAATTCTACAATGCATGACCAGAAAATGTATGGCTGTACCCCCAACTGAAATTGCTTTTCATGGGCCTGCAAACGAAGCGTACTTGGAGTGACAGTACCAGTAATAGCACAAAACCAATCTTAACTTCTCATATTATTTTAAGTTTTGGTAACGGAACCTATATAACTTCTTTTGGATTCGTACGGAATATGTATTGCACATGCCGATCTGTTAGATGAAGCCCATCGTCTCAAGCCACGGTCTGGAGTAGAATCGTACATCTTTGACCGTGGTTTGCAACGATGGATGAACCCGAAGCCCCCCCCCCCCCCCTCTTCCACCTTGAAAAAAACTTTTGTACAGGCTGGTAGCAAGCTATTTAGATTGATGCAACGTTACTATATGCTCTATAAAATATTCCTGAAAGTGTGTCACGTAAATTCATCTTAAAAAGTAGTACGATGAATTATATTTCTTCTAATTAAATTCAATATATGAATTTTGTTTCATGTGCATGTAGTTTATTCAACAGAAGATTGAACTCAATACTCCTCATTTTATACATGTACCATTTTAGGATATTAATGACACTTCCTAATTGACTTTCTACAGCTTAAGTATTTCTGACGTTTTGTCAGTATATACTTGTTGTTTGTAACTTTACATTGTTATATATAATCATTAATATTAAATTATTTATTATTTATATTTAAAGGAAAGAAAAACTGACTATGCATATCTCTCTATTTCTGGGATTTATAACCAGTGTATACAGTGAGTATTTATGTTCTGTATATTTAGGTAATTGGTGTTAACTTAAGGATAACCGTTCTTATTTTTAAAGACGATTAACAATAGTGAAATACATATTAGTTTTCATAACATATATTTTTAAAGAAAATAAGGGATCTGTAATAAGTTGCAATCTTGATTATTTTACACTTCAAATATATTAAAGTCTATGAAGAGTATAAGAGTTTTGCATTAATAATAACTCACATTCTACATGTACCACATATACAATAATGGATACGAATATGTTTAATAAAACTTGACTAATCCGGCCACCAATGATTTCAAAGAAATTGGATCGTTAAGACAACATTTCAGCTTAGACAATGCAAGTGATTTAAGGTTTCTTTGCAAATGAGCTAATAAAAATGAATAGATAGTATATTTTATGTACTGAGAAAGTGTAAATTTATTTTCTTATGCATCTTATGACGTCATTGTTCTTTCCCATCCATGTTAATAAAACAAATCAACAAAACAACGTCGGCGCAAGGGCATCTCCTATATAATTAAATGTAAATAATGTGTAATGTTTAAAAATATAAATGAAATTGCTGCACAAATCCAATGCATTTTCTTAATCGATAAAAGTTTATGAAACTTATACTGGACTGTGAATTTCCCCTATTAAAACTTAAAATTGTCATTTGTGCAGCAGTATCTTAAATCCTTAGAATATCCTGCGTCTTTTTATACCTTAATTCTATAAAACAAAGTAAAGTTTGGCCTTGCAACGAAGAGATTTTGTTTTTGTTTCTTAAAAACTTGTGTAGTAGAGGTCAATGACGTCATAATGTGTACATTAAAGAACTATATATATAGCCTTAACTCACTTGCGAACATTTTAAATAATTGAAATCACCGGAAGGGACTTAAAATTAACAGGTTATTACACATGATTAGAATACACAGAGTCCGGAGTAGACAGGATTCACTGTATTTCAAATAGTATTCTGAATGATAATAACAATAACTAGAGCAAAGCTCGTTGCAAAGCAACGAGTGGGTCTTCCTTCTTAGCGATAAGCAGAAAGTGAAATGTTTCAATTGTCAACTTTGCTACCATTCTTCATTTCTTTGACTCAAATAGCAAAAACCTTTCCGGGTTGGAATAGGTTCTCAGTACCCCCTAGGTTGTTGTAAAAGGCGACTAAATGGGGCGGTCCTTCGGATGAGACCGTATAAACCGAGGCCCCGTGTCACAGCAGCTGTGGCACGATAAAGATCCCTCCCTGCTCAAAGGCCATAAGTGCCAAGCATAGGCCTAAATTTGCAGCCCTTCATCGGCAATGGTGACGTCTCCATATCAGTGAAATATTCTGGAGAGGGACGTTAAACAGTAAACAATCAATCAATCAATTATACTGTAAAAATACACATATAACAGACCTTTATCACCTTAACTATTAGAATTGGTATGTCTTCTCTTGGAAACGGAAGACCTCAATACAGATGTTAACATGCAAGATCTGACACATACTTAAAAAGAATATTTATTCCAAACTAAAGATAGATTCTGTAACAAAATCTATTTCTCTTGAAAAACTGAAAGCAATTGATTTGTTCATATTTGTGGATTTATGTATGTTTCTCAAATCAAAATTTAAATATAATTTATTTAAAATCATTTTCATAAACTAAGACTGTTTCACATGAATGTTTCAATTTCATTATGCTGTTTATTCCTTGTCATCCCCTAACAGATGCTCTTCTGGCAAATCATGATCATGCTTGGAATCAAATTTAGTACTCTGATGACAGTCACACCTATCAAAAAGAAATTGAAAACTTTTATTGAATTTTTTTTAAAAGTGCAACTTATACACTGTTATTAGATAAGATAAACCATCGAACTGAGTTCAAAGATACTGTCACATTTTCTACATGTGTATTATTTGTAAAACTTCCGGTAGTCTATAATTATTTATGAATATAGGTTTACAGGCAGTCATTTGAGGATGTTAGAAAATAACATATTAGTTTTTCATGATTTCAAATAAAGGAAATATACATTACTTGTTCATATCAAAATTTATTAGGAATGGTAATGGTTAACAGTTGTTAACCGACTAATCAGCCAAAAAGATGGTATCCAGTTATGATTTTTTACGTGTCAGGATAAGACCATTCGTAAAGGTGTTACAGCACATTAAGAACAATGCGCTAATGAGGTGACAAAACGCTATCGCATAAGGAGCTAAAGCCAAAGAGCTAGCGCAAAGTAACAATGTGGTTCTAACTCATTTATAACACCATGCTAGTAAGTTTATGACAACATTCTGGCCAGTTTAAAACCCTTACAAGCTAGCATGAAGTAAAAATGTGCTACAACACTTAAATGACGATGGGCTAGTGTGTTTATGACATGTACAACACAATGACAATGTACTTGTGCATTTGTAACAATGTTGCAGCAGGCTTTTACACCACACAGTCAAGATTACATATAATGGATTGTGTAAAGTTGTGTTAGCATGGCAGCATATTTTGTGTCAGCACAACTGCATGTTATTTTAAGTTGCCCTAGCCTGACAGTGTTGTGAACACTGTTTTAGCACATTGTTCCTAAACATGCTGAAGCACTTTTACAAATAGCCTTATCTGGACACCATAATTTTCATAACTGACTATCCATGTTATTTTGTAAAAGAACATGTACCAGGGTACATGTAAATCATTTTTTTCATTTAGATTTCTGTATGTTTTAAAAAGACAGGGAATGAGACAATTTTCTATAAGCTTCTATTCATTATAAGTGTTTGCCAAAGCATTTTTTTTCTATATAACCAAAATACATCTTTGTCTTTATGGTAGCCTAGTGGTAGGCCATTCCCTTTATATAATCCTGAAGCTTAGCTTGATTTTTAGTTGGGCTCATTGCTACGATGTTCAACAGGAAATGCTGCTCCATCACTGCTTAAGGAGGCTCATAATACCACTTTTTGATGACGTACTACACAAAAAAATAAACCTTTATTGTGTCGACCGAATTGCTCAGGGGACGAGTTGTATAGATTCCTCTATAATATGACCCTGACCTTTAAAACGCTTTAAAAATAGATGGAACATGTGGTGTTATAAACAGTGAAAACAAAGTAACGGATTCATTATACATAAACCAAGAAGAATTGCTTTTAGGCGGAAACAAAAGAAAGCAACAGTCAAATCTTCGCCAAACAAGTAATGTCAATTTCATAGCCATGCATGCAGTGAACTATATCAATCACTGACATGTATGTATGGAGGAAATTCGAGTTAAAATCAACAACCTTGCTGAAATTAAAATTTTATTTTATTGCGCTATTTACTGTGTTGGTGTTAATTAATATATTTGTTTTATTGATTTAAATGTATATTCTGTCAATTTAAAGCTTTATTCTGAATTTTAGATTTAATGTCAAACGTTCCACAGTGTTTTGAGTCTTGGCTAATTAGGAAAGATAACTCTTGAAAGTGGACTTTTATACCAAATATTTTTTAATTTAGATTTTTCATTTCCTTTAAACTTTCTTTATTCAATTTGACACATGTAATTCATTAAAATACATTCCTTGTCTCTTCAGAACACATTTTTAAAATGTTTTATGCATAGATTAAAAAGATAATGACATTAATTGTTTTCTAGGAGAAAATTATTTTTTCTAATAAAATTATTAATAGGTATTGTGAGATATTTTCACTGTTTGTACTTGTCTTCAGAAGATGCCCATCATTTGACACTGAAAGTTCTGAAATTCTGCGAATAATAAACCTGAAATAAAACATTTCACAAAAATAAAAAAAAACCTAAAAAATTCTATAAAAAATATTTATGATATCAATACCCCCATCTGGATATTTGACATCTACATTATAAGTGGTGCTGTATTGAAATCTAAAATAAACTGTGGATGTAATGAGCCACCTTAATCAAATTTACACGTTAAAATATAGTACATCTGCGAAATCAAATTTGAGGCAATACAAACACTGATTACAGAATTAAATTTTCAAAGTTATCTGAAATTGTCAAAAAATAATTATAATAATGTACTTTCTACAGTCTTCTTCGATTAATTATTTGTTTACAATATGCAAAAGGTTTTCATCAGGTATCGAAGTGAGCGCCATATTCTATAAATAAAGGTTGTACTGTCAGTCTAACACAAATGCGGTAAGGCTTAAAAAAAATATGTTTGTTTCCTGTAACATTCCCAAAAAATTAAGGGTCGGTAGGTCGGGATTTTTTTTTTTTTGCTTATGAATGGTCAAACATCCCCAGACTGAATATACTAGGTGTCATATTTACAGTGGACACCCAACATGGCATCCAAAATGGCTGCCAAGAGGCAGAAAACGAACTTCAGCAAGTTGTAGGGGGAAAAAGTTGTTATAATAATGATTGCTCTTAATAAATAAGGTAAATGTAAACTAGGTTGACATATTTTATGTCTCAATTTAAGCTACAAGCTAATTTCATTTTTTTTAATAAATGGAATCAGCTGATTGATCAAACAAAGTTTTGGCATTTGTCAGAAAAAAAATCCACCCGGGGGTAATTTGAATGGGTCGGTCGGGTTACAGGAAACAAACTTATTTTTTTTAGGCCTAAACATCAATAATTACTTGATTTACGCTTTGATGCAAATTCTCAGCTGAGGACACATCAATGCATAATCGTTTGACCTTAATTAATCTCGCTGCATTAGTGTTTATTTACTTCTGTTGGTATATAAATCCCCAACACCGCCTCAAACGATACATGTGATAAATATTTTATGCTGTTAAATTCTATAATAATTTTAGTTAATTTTAAAACTTTTTAATACTATATATATGCCATAGAGATATTTTTGTGGATAACATATCCTCTCAATGTCTGAGAACTTGTTTTTAAACTGTCATCACGGTCTTTGTTCATTACCCTGTAAATGAGCCCAGCTTTCAGTACTTCTGAGTACTTTGATTATTCACTGCATCAAACCTAAGACAAAAACATGGTGCAGTAATGTTACTTAACCATGCACCCAGCATTTGAAGTGAATGAGAACTTAAAAACCTCATATTACATGTTAGGACAATGTCACTGAGTTCCAAATAAAGGTCTAAATTAAAACTATTCACCGGTATATATATTAGCACCTCTAAATGAGTGAAGGAGTAAAAAAAAATTCTGAAATAACATTACCAATCAAAGTATCAATAAGAAGCTGATTCGTACGTCGCAGGTTCCAATCCCATTGCTAAATGCTTGAGACGGGTTACTCCAATGAGACCGTATAAACTGAGATTCAGTGTCAAAAGGATCCCTTACTTTTCAAAGGCAATAAGTGCTGAGTACAAGTCTCTATTTGCAGCTTACTATCCCAAGTGGTGGCATCATCAAATGACTTGAAAATGTTTGATAGGCCAATAATCAAACATACCATTCCTGCAGTCATCTAAAAAATAAGCAATTTTCTATTATTACAATTGTTTTTTACAAATTTCTTTTGCGATTTAACTGAGCAACATTTTTGCAATTTTTTTGTCAATAAATTTTGATACTAAAGACTTTGTTTGAACAGCTTTTTATAGCAAGTACAGACAGCAGCATGAAGCGCTGCTCATAGTGCAAGCTCTCATGACAACGCCTTGGCGAAGAGAAAATTATCACTTGCTTATTGATCCACACAATTTCTTTTCCGCAGTAACTTTGGATCCAAGTGCTTTGATTCTTTAAGCTACATTCTTGCAAAAATTAACCAAAAGTTTCCAAAAAATAAATTTTCCTTGATTTAATGGATAAATTGCAGATAAATAGTGGGGAAAAAAATACTTCATTAAAGTCAGCACTATTCAAGATTTAGACTGGTAATGTAGGCCTAACTTACACCACGACATCGTGTGACTTCAAAGTCTAGTGCCCTGTTCGCATGGAGAGTTTAATTTGCAGTAAATTATGGCGAAGTAAACTAATGCGAATCAAACTAATGGTATTCAAACTGTGTTAACATGACAGCTAATGCGAAGTAAACAAATGCGAATAATTACTTCTACAGTCAAGCGTCAGTAAGGCTATCCACTCAAAAATAGCACAAGTACTTGAAGCTGACCACCAACATGTAGCATTTGAATTAATTTTGCCATTACACATGCCTCAAAATTTAATTCGAATAAGCTTCCCTTTGTGTTAACATGGAGCTAATGCGAAGTAATTTAATTCGCAGTAAATTAATTCGAATTAATAAAACTAATTTGAATTAAACTCCCCGTGTGAACAGAGCATCGATGCACCAAATATCAAGTGCGGTTTGACAAGCCCGATCTAAATTAAAACTGAATAAGTATCTGCCCTCACCCTAACAGTCACACCGTCAACATATTGTTGCAGTGTATATTCAACTAATAATAAGTGTAGTGTGAATTAGCCCCTCCATGGTAACTGCGGTACTGCTCTTTTGCAGGGCAAAATAATAATGTTTGGCAAAGTTTTTGTTGGAAGATAATTAAATGATGTATATTTAACTATTACTTATACGTCATATTTCACCAAACTATATCATTTTGCCCTGCAAAAGAGCAGTACCGCAGTTACCTTGAAACAGTCTATAAGAGTATCACTATGATGGATAGTGGAGTGTTGAATGTTTTGTTTTGAAAGTGAGTCTTGTTGAAATCAAATGCTCACATATATTTAAATAAAAAATAAAGAGCTGTTGGAATTTCAAAAGGCTAACAGAAAGCGTCTGAGCTTTTAAACAGATGTATCGGTGTGTCTGTGTATTTCTAAAAATACCAATGCTCTAAGCTGCCATAGTAATGTAAATTTTAGGTAAAATAAATTTCTAACCTTCATTCCGATGGTCCACGCCAATCAGACTTTAAAATGTCACCGTCGACTCTTTCATCACTCGATACATTTATCACTGGGAACTAGTGGGACACACTAATAACCGGATATACGAAAGACCTGATATTTACCTGATGTTTTTATTTTAGATTAAATGATAATATTGAGTACTTCAAATGACTTATTTAAAGACTTTATGACTATGATGCATAATGCTATACAAAAATTCGTTTGTTTTGAATATTTACTGACGATTTTGAATCAGGTCAAATAATGTTTTTAATATATCAGGTCTTTAGTACCTTCTCATTTCCCACAATGCCGCGCGTTGTTTACAAACAAGAGGCCCCGAAAAGACTTCCTCTAAACTAATGCAGAAATATTTTGATTTTACTTATTGCTGTGTACATCATCACATCATATTAATTATTTGAATGAAAAGAAAACAGAGAAACACCGAATCAAAACAATATCTTTCAGATGCATCAACTAAAACTATGCAAGTAAAGGCTTGGCTTATAGTAGACAACTTGTTCCTGTAAGGTTTCTCACATATTTGTTTTATAAAAAAACTATTAAATATAGCTTGAAGTTTATTTCTCTTTATATCAAACGACAAGATTTAATCAGTTCGAAACTATTTCAGTCAAACTTTTTCATAATATACCAATATTTTTAGCTATCAGAAAAAAACGTGTACGAGCTATTAACCCCTAATTATAGGGGCCAGCCCCTTTTCCTTGATCTTATATGAAAGCTCTCGTAATAATGCACAACTTTTGTTATATACATGTATTTCTTACCAAATTATTCTCGGTTCAAAAGTTATTACACAAAAAGAAGCAAAATTTCATGGAAAAAAAATTACTAAAAATTGCCGTCACATAGCTTCCGATCTTTAAGAAATCAGCTTATAATTTTATCGTTATGCACATCTACAATGTATTGGCTACAAGTTCTCCAACTTTCATAAAATTATCATATGTCGTTTTTGAGATTATTAGTGGAAACGAGACATCAAAATTATCAATTAAAGGGCAATAACTCACAAAGTAAGGCATGTATCAAAAAATTGAAAGCAGATGTAAATAGATGTAAATACAAGGTATCTAACCTGAAAGTTTCATAAAAATCAATCGAAAGGTCTTTGAGATATCGCCTGTCAAAAATCCGGCGGGAAAAAAAAGCAAATAATAATAAGAAACAGTAGAATAACAGTAGGGTCTTCCGAAGGAAGCTCGAAAGACCCTAATAAAACAGACACATTTTCTACACAGAAGTTTTTATGGAAGTAGTACTTTTGATATCCTGAAAATTATTATGTTTCAGCAATAAAGGATGGGAACTTTTTGCTTTTTACTGATTCTAAAGAAGGCGAGATATACAAGATGAATTTATCGACGTATATCAGTGAACCTTTGTTTGGCTTCCATCCCAATCCTGTTGCTATAAGTTTCGATAAAGCAAAGAAACGCATTTACTGGTCAGATAATGGATTACGTCAGTTGAAATCTGGTGACCTTGAAGGCAAAACGAACAGAGTAGTCCGTTACCTTGGAAACGGTAAGTAGTTTCAGAAAACATTATTACTTTTGATGTAATTGAAAATAACACACTATGTTCAAACTCCTTAAAACTTTACAAAATACAAATTTCATTTCTGAAGACACAAATTTCAAAATAAAAAAGATAAAAATAAAATTAAAAAAAATTTAAAAAATCAGAAGTGTATTAGATGACCAAAGGCTTGTTCACAAGCACGAATCTTCGCAAACGCTATAGCCAAAATTACAATTAAAAGTATAAGGAATTTTGGCGAACGCTCGCAAACGTTCACTCTGCTGAACAGGCCTCAGGAGAAGTAGGTGTCCAATGCCATTCAGTCGCACCCTCTGTACACTATATGCATTTTTTTTCAGATTCCGTGGTAGATGGGATCTCCATAGACTCGGTGTCTAGGTTGCTCTTCTTCACAGATTCGGGATATAGCTCTATTTCTGTAGTAACTCTAGACGGAAATAATTATCAGAAAAAGATCATAAAGGAAGCAGTGGATAAGCCAAGATCAATTGTTTCCGATTACGAAACTGGGTAAATCATACATGGTCCGCTTCTTTGACCATAATATCACAAAAATCGTTTTAATGTCACGATAACTGATGAGTCCTTTTTATTCATCTTTATCAGGTAATCCTTATCTATATCACTAGCCTTTATTTTCTTTTTCAATTAAAGACATGTATGCATTCACACATTAACACAAATGTATTCTGATATACATTTGCTGAAGTAAAATTATCATATAAATTGAACATCAAATAGTATTTGGAATATCCGTCTTGTTCTCTGACGTCCTAAAATAGTTAGTTTTACAGGGTTATATATTGGACGGATTGGGGTGAGAGTCCAAGGATTGAAAGGGCAAACTATGATGGATCAGAAAGGCAAGATCTTATTACGAAGGGCTTATATTGGCCAAACGGTCTGGCAATAGATTTTGAAGGTATGCATTTGGCACTGAGGATGTATTGGTGTAAAGAATTAATAAATCAACTTGAACAATATATATACTTTTTAACTGAAATGCAGATCTAGTATTAATGTACATTTAAATTTAGAAAACAATATGCAGTTGAAGATGATTGTGCTCTTGACACTCTATCACTGGTTTTTTTTAATTTTAGGTTTTAAAGTAAATTTTATAAATTAATGAATCAAATTAGAAATTTTAATGAAAATCCCTTGCAAATAAAGAATAAAAGAAGATACGTTTTAGAAACACCGAATATTTTTTAAAAAGTAAAACTTCAAGAGCTAAAAATGTTGAATCCCAAATAGATCTTGTCACTAATAATTCACCTGTGCAATATGAGCACCCTAACTGAACAAAATGTAGGGTCAAGTTTATGTTTTTTTTTTTTCTACAATAGGTCAAACGCCTGGTCAAATGGTCTAATATATGATGCCCAGGAAATGTAAAATGTAAACTTGTCAGTACCAATCTTTTCAAAGTTTTTGCCTTATTGAAAGGTTTCGAAAGCAGGTCCTACTCAATGCAAAATATCAGATTAAAAAAAATGGTAAAAATATCAAAAAATGAAAATAGTGCCCAAGAGAATAAACATATTAAATATTAAAGCAGTAGCGCCAACTCTTCAAAACTTATGCAAATGGTTAAAGTTTTACAAATAAAGGTCTAAGTCCAAACTTAAACCGTAAAAAAATGTTGGTATTTAAGAGTAGATTTTGTCAGGGAATAAACCTGACCTGAAAAATGAAAGTCAATGCATCAATCATTCAAAAGTTATGGCCATGGTTACATGTAGTCTGGTGATTCTTTTCAAACACTTGTCTCACTCCAATGTTAATTTTAATAAGTCGTAAATGTTGTTACAAAAAAGGAAGGGACTTGGCAAAAGTAATAAACAAACAAAATATGAAAGTCATTCCTCAAAAAAATGAAACCTATGGGCGTTGTTAGGCAGATGGACAGACAGCGTAATAATAATACATCTCCCAAATCTAAAATTACGTAAGCATAAAACAAGATGCGAAAGAATTAATTATGTTTTGCTTGGATATAGAATATAGGGATAAAAATCCATTTCTCTAATCACTCTTTTTTTTAATATTTTTTTTATATTCTGTGACACATGTCAAATTGACTTTAATTCATCCTGGTAGCACAGTGCATGAATACATTAAAGCAGGGTTCTCCATGGGCTGTTTTACTGTGTTGCTCCTGACACAGTAACGATTCAAATTTTATGCTTATGACACAGTAAAATCTTTGCCGACACAGTAAGATCTGTGATAAGATAATAAAACTATATACATTTTGTCTCACTGAAACTTTAATCAAACAATTCCACGGTCTTTCAATTATATCATGCAGAGCAATTTATTAGGGCTTCACCTTGCATAATTAATTATCTCCTAGACCATCACTGAACTTTTCGCATGAAAAAACAAAGACTTATGATTTGTTTCACACTTCCATGTAACGGTTAATTGGTAGTTGAATTAAAATTACATTGTATTATTAAAAAAATGAATATGTTTTTCTGTAGAACCACGACTCTAGAATTACGTTAACGCTGTAAGTCAAAGATACCTTCGTACCGAAATCAATTAATTGAGCAACTATTTTCAATTTTCAAGGAACTCTTAAAAGTATTTTACTGTTCTTGAGTTCTTTTTTGTGCTTCCGTAATTAGATCAAGAAAACTAACAAAAATCACTACAAAATTACTTTCGAAAGTGGTAAGTAGTTCGACTGTATAGATCAGAATTTTCTCTGCTTTTCAGAACACGTGTTTTAACTTTTATCAATATATACGACCATATCATTTCTGTAATTAATTAATGATTTTTTTTAAATGTGTGAGCATGTACTCTTTTGTAATTTTACTGAATAGTGATTATGCTGCTAATTTTATCCCTAAAATACTGCAAAATTTTTGTACTTTGCCTAAACTCTGCAGCACAGTAAAATTTCAAACAATCGAGAACCCTGAATTAACACAAATATGTACCATCTGCCTGGGGAAACATTTAACAAGGAAAAGAAGCATTCCCTATGATCAAAAATTTTCAGAATATAGAAAATGATAATAATTCTTCATTTATATCTGCATAAATAAACAGCTGTGCCATTTGTTTTTTTTATAGAAGGCATAATGTACTGGTGCGATGGAAAAAGTGGTCTCATAGAAAAGGCAAACATAGATGGTACGAACCGGCGAGTACTTAGCGAGATGCTCATTTCTTTGGATTGGCATTTGACAGAAAAAGATTGTATTATACAGACTGGTCAAGAAGGTATTCACATCAATCTGTTTCTGAATTCATACATTGAATCCATATAATCAATTCATTATCAGCTATTCATCCTATTTCTATCGTAATCAAAATCTGAAAAAAAATATTTTATTTGTATAACTTTGTATTACCAATCAATCTTCAAGAAATTCTATGATGAAATAAATGAGGAAAACGAACAGTAATTGTTTTCAAAATATCTCATATCACTCAAAATAAATCGAAATTGTATTTTTTTTAATTTATCTAAATGACAAATGTTTTT